TGGAGTGACCTCTCCAGGGACGGGAGTGGATAGTCAAAGGAAACCAGGAGGTGCCCAACCAGCTGGTCTTGTGAGACTGATCTTCGTTTGGCCTCTATCCATTGACCTTCCAGGCATGATTGGATCTACAGCCGGGAGAATCCATCCTCTGCAGCTCGCAGGGTTATGAAGGCACGCATGCCATCACACCACGTCAAGGTGCATTCTCATCGTGATGTCAATGAACGTCAAAGTTCTCAACGGAACCCTGACCTGTTCTTATTTTTACTACTGTTATCAGTATGATTTATTTGGTTACTTTCCGCCATTTAGCCAATCCGCTTGCTTCCACTTGAGACGGACGTGATTGGTCGGAATCTTGGTCTAGCTATTAGCCGGCAGGCAGCAGCATCATGTTGGTTACATACTGTCGTGTGATTGTCACAGATTTCCTAGTAATTTTGGTGGGTGATTTAGATGTGCGGGTTTAGGTTTTATGCTTCATTTGGGAGGTTCACCTTCAGTCTTACTACATTTACTATGGTCCTCGCGAGTTAACATCAACTCCGTTGCGCCTTAGCCGTAACGACAAGTGGAGAGGATATTGACTGCAGGGACCTCCAGTAGCGATTAATTCCGAGAGCAAAAATATATTTTCGAAATAATCTCTGTAACGCCAGAATCACCCCCATTATTGTTTCGAGTTATGCATGTTTTCTATTTAATAGCTAGCACCCGGGAGTTTTATTTAAAATATCCCATGCACAAAGTGCTTTTTGCACAGAGGACGTTGGATAATTCCAAAATTTCCTTCAATAAACGACTTTGTGATTCGCCTCTATTGTGGCCTTTTTCCACACGTCTCGATCCTGCGGTTTATTGCGAGTTCGAGCCATTGCGGTCTAGTGCCACCGGATTTCTAATTCGTGTTCCGTGATTCCTATTGTGTAGTTCGTGTCCGATATCTGTGCGTAATTTCATTACTACTACTTCTACGAGCACCACAATCTGACAGAGATTGAGATGGGTTGATTAAAATGGGGTGGGTGGAAGGCCATGGAAGACACAGTGTATTCACAAATTGTTTTTGCGCACACAAGGGTGGATTTTGTATGCGAATTCCCACTGCTGTGGTCAGGGTGCGACTTTTAATCCGCTTAGATTGTTGTTCGTAAACCTGGTATGGGGACGAAACGTTCTAGTCAAGTCAACTAAATGACCTGAACAAAGAACACAACATTGCAAGTGAGCACGATTTATATCCGGAATCATTTCGCTATATCTCAACTGGTGCTTACTGCAGAAACAAAAGAGTTTATCTATCACAGATCATGACAATCTAACATAGCATCAGTTTAGTCCTATGTTGCTAAGATTTGCAGAGACCATAGCAATCAAGCGCTGAAAGCCCTTACTGTGTCAGCATAAGAAGGTATACATCAGTCTCACATTGCCCTGATGACCAGGTAAGCGGGAAAATGAGCTGATACCATGTGAGATTTATTAGCACAGAGCCTAAGCAACCCGTCCGATCGCGCACGCCTCCGAGTCAGGCCACACGCACGCTCGCAACGCTCCAGACGGGATGAACCTGATTGGATGATCACAGAACGTGTCAGCCAATGTTGGTCCAATCGATCAATCGATATGTCAAGGACACAATCTGATTG